CAGCACTCGTCGGTCTCTATCTCCCAGTTTCGCTGGTCTGCCGACTCGGGGCACATTCCGAAAATCCCCGCTCACCTTCCACTTCTTAATCACATAGGCCACTGTCGATTTTGGGTACTTCAGATCGCTAGATATGTCCATTGAGGATCGGCCACATTTGTGATACCCGATATTAACTTTTCTCTTTAGAGAGCTTTGAATGCGAGGCATTTGATGCGACTAAAGCCGATGCTGTTTCCTACACGATATATACCGGCGGAGTCCGTGACGTACCTTAGGACCGCAGATGTCGTGATTTTCATAGGTGTCCAAATACTTATTGGTAGTCAGTGTATAAGTAGGTGGGACACCATAATTTCATTACAGGTTGTACAGGAATAGTCCACCGCAAAAATTGTGCAATTCCGAACCAGTTCTAAAGAAAAACTGCCTAGGGGGCAAGTAATGTTTTCGAAAATGAGAGTAATCACAAACAATCTGAGAGGGATCATTCAGCAATTAAAATATTTTAGTTTTCTCTGCTCAACGAGTTAACATCAATATTGAGCTGTCAAAAAAGTTTAGTTCTGCATTCACATGCATTCTACAAGTGTAAACATCAACACTGATACATCAGAAAAATATTTGATATAGATCATAAGAGATTGAAAACAAAAGTTGAATGTTGTACAGAACATATGTACAATGCACACACAAAAAAGGGGGACAGTTCTATATCTCCCGTTCTCATGAGCAGATTGACGAAATTCAACTTGCGTTATTCATGTCTCAAAAGCGCGACTTAGGATACATACTACATTGTTCTAACATAACATTTTGACACGACATCGGACGTTTTCTGAAATGGCATGCCAATGTTTTCCATATTTCGATTCTATGACTCAAATTATGCCTAAATATTAAATTTTGTAACATTTTGTGCGAAATTTATGGACAAATTCAAAAATTTATCTTGGCGCATATTTTTCAGTTGCGCCAAGAACAGTTTCAACCTATTTTCCTTTCCTTTTTTTAATTGTACAGGAGCGGAAAAAAAAAAAAGGTCATCGTTAATGCTTTCAAATAGTTTGAACTATTCTAACCTTCTTGATTTGAACAAAGTGCGTAAACCACCTTTGGCGTTATTATCGCTTATAACAAATATGCCACGTTTCAAAACGCTCCAATATGTAAATTCACGTATATCTTAGGAAATTTTGAATTAAAAAAACTCTAATTTTTTGTAGGTACGCTTAGAAATACATCTACTTTTATGAGGATGGTAAAATTTTTATAGGTTATAATTCAAAATCTTTTACGAAAAATTTATAAAATTATTTAAAAAATATAAATTTAAAAAAAAATCATTAAAAAAATGGGCGAATTTAATTCGGAATGAACCTAAATTTCGAAATGTGAAGGAAGAAAAAGAATAAAAAAAGTTTAATAAAAAATGAGATATTAATAAATATATATCAAATTCAATTAACATTGAAGAGTTAAAATTTTGAGAGCTAATGTTTTAAAAACTGCTCTCGCGATTTTTACAAAACTCGGCAATCTAGCATAATTTGAGTCGTAGAATCGAAATATAGAAAAAAATTGGCATGTCATTCTAGAAAAAGTCCAGTTTTGTGTCAAAATATTTATATTAGAACAATGCTATATATAAATCTAATACATATTTTAAGTCGCGCTTTCGAGACGTTTCCATATATCGTCAATTTCAATTTCGACAATTGTCTAATAAGTGGAACGGGAGATATAGAACTGTCAACTTTTCTCCCCTCGCAGTGTACGTTGCTTGGTCATTTTAATTTAAAGCATTATTCGATTCGTCAAAATCGATTCATGTAGAATATTGTATATTCATTGCTACTACGCATGCGTGAGAATTCAAAAAATAATTGAATGGGCAGAAGGCAGTTAAAAATTCAAGATTGTCACAGAAACTGAAGCAAAGCCATATAAAAACATGTGAAAAGAAAATTAGGCACCAATTTTCGACGTGCAGTAATTGTATTTTATTGACATTATCAGTAGTTTCTTGTTAGCCGAATATATGGAAAACATCTAGTCCTGCTTGTGTTGGTCTCTACAGCATTTTTCAAATATTATCTGCGCATATATATCTGCATCAGTTATGCAGAACGGCATTTTAAGAAAAAGAAGGTAAAAGCATCTCATATTCATAGCTGTGTGTTACTTTAACGACAGTAGGAACAAAATAGTAACTCTTCTTATTGATTATAGGGACTATGAAGCCAAGCACGGTGCCACAGCAAATTCTGACTTATATTGATTGCTGATATTATAAATATAAGGTGCTTTTTTTAACTATGGTGCTTATACCGGTTGCTGATATTATAGATAGATGGCGAAGCGTTACCGGTAATAATAAATTTAATGAAATTTTATCCCAGTAACAGAGTTGGGGTTTAAAGAGCTTTCCTTGTCGAAAAAAAAAATGTTGTGTTATATTGAAATTTGTACACAACATTTTTTGGTACTATTCCGTTTTGAGGACCGTAAAAAATTGCAGCGAAAATGTATGGGCAAAAGCGCCAAATATAACAAACGCGTCCATTTAACAGCTCGCCAAATCTAGCGTACGCGCTGATTTCAGATTGCGTAAGTTTATATAGTTCTATATTTCTTAAAACGCCATTGAAATACTAGTTTAATTTTAAAATCCTTTTTTAATATCCTATGGATTTAACAATTTGGGAATTGCCCATGACGAAAAGTCGGCAATAGAATTTTGGGTAAAGTGCAGAATTACGCACTGTTTGACGCGTTTTTAAGAATTGCACATACTCCGTATCCATGTGCACATCGACCTATTTTCACTTAAAAAAAATCTCAGAATTGCACAAAAATGGCACTGCGCACACCCTTGGCTTTATCTATGCACACATCGACCTATTTTCACTTAAAAAGTAAAAGAAAATTCACAAAAATCCAATTGTTTTTACTCTTGTAAAAAGCGGAAACAAATACGTGGACGATTCTGCACTTTACCGAGAATTTGTTTCAAAGAAAAGGCATCATTCATTATAGCAAATTATACTTGAACAACCAACGACATGAAATTATGCTTTAGCGATAACTCGGTACCGAAATAGCGGTACAGGCATCCATTCAGTCACGTTTAGCCTTTTTTATATAAATTAAATAATAAAAAAGTATTATATGAAATTAACCTTTCATCTAAATTAAACATCATCTTTTAGAAGTTATTTACTATTATACTTCCTTTCTTGCGTTAGGGTTGCCGCAATTATTTTTGGCAGGCACTATCATCAACATAGTTTGGCGATTTTTACGGCCCTCAAAACCGAATAGTACCCATATTTTTTTTTTTTTTTTTTTTTTTTTTTTTTTTTTTTTTTACAAGGAAAGCTCTTTAAACCGTTATTACTAAAATTTGTATTGTTGTTTTTGCATTGAATTATGATATTAGATAATATCGCCAATGTCCATGCTGGCGACAACTCGAAAAAGCAGTCGCTAACGCATGGTCTCTAGGCCTACCAAGCGGAGGAGCGGTAAAAGCCGCTGAACACTGGTAGTTCGGTCCGGGGCATGAGTCCCAGCGAACGAGCTGGCTGCATGGGCGTTTTCGTGGTTTTCCTCATGTGTAACGTGGATACGAGCCATTTTCCCTTAAAAAGACCTCCACGGGGCATTCCTCCCTTTCTGTGTAGTGCCTAAGGGCGGAGCACGTAATAAGAAAAAAAAAAAAAAAAAAAAGGGTCTCTATAAGCGGGTGTTCTCCAACTGCGCTAATGAAAATAACCCCCCCCCCGGGTCTAGCTATAGTCCAACTGCGCCAATCAAAATTTCTTCCCCCTGCTGCCTACAGGGTTAAAATTTAACTTTTCGAAGCCAATTGTAGCCAAGAGGAAAATAAAAATAAATAAATAGAATTACATATCACAAGAACAAGTAAAAAAATATCTAACAAGCAGGCTAATTACTTGAATAACAGTAATAAATGCGAGAGCTAACAAAGAAAATAAAAGGTATTGGTAAACATACATATTAGCATTACAAAACATATTTTCATTTATTAATAATATCATAAATTAATAATTATAAAGCATACAAATTATATTTTTAATAAATTACATCAATAATAGTCAAGATGTCTGAACTAGACTGGAAAATTTAATAGAGTTCACTATCGTGCAAAAAATTATTCCATATCAAAGGGTGTTAAAATGTGCTAAAAATATTTTTTGCTAATTAAAGTAATCAAACTTCAACTGCGCTAATGAAAATCGCTTATAGGATAAGAACCAAATTCATGAATACGGAAATAGAATTAAATAATGATAAAAATAACAGAAAGAGCGATAAAGGCTAAATCGGACAGAATGTTAACAAAATTAAAAAAAAAAAAAAAAAATCAAGTAGCTAAGAGTGAGCTGCAACAAGAACGGAGACGAAATCAAAACGAAAACATAACAAAATACTTAAAATTGTTTGATTAATAACAAAATGCAACCTTTCATTATTAAAATGGTCATCTCATAAACCATGGGCAACATTTGAAATTCACGCATTATTGCTTAGGCGCTTAAATTTGTCAGTTTTAGCTGTTAACAGCAGTAGCCATTTTAATACAGAAATATCCGAAATGGTAATTAATGTCATAAGAAAAATGAAATTAAAAAATAACACCTTACAAAAACGAACAATTTTGTGAGTCTTAACAAAATAAAGTTTGCATTTCAGTACTGATTTGAACTTATTGTCTCATGAGATTTACAATTTGGAAATACAAGAATACTTTAGGTCTTGTACATTAAGCATATTTATTGGAATTTTCATCAATACGAGATCTGTTATTTCAATAAATTTCCAGCTTTTTTTTACTAAATAATTTGCATTTCTTAGAGAATGAAATATGTTTAATTTTCTTATCAGGCGATAACAATATTCGAATCTAGGAATTTTTTTAAAAAAAGCACTTATAAAAAAAGCATGCTACAAATTGAACTGCAGAATTATGACAGTCAAAATAGTTTAGATTTGCTTATATCTGGTTTTCCAAATCTTACATTCCAATTCATACTAGTTTTGTAAATAGGCAAACGACGACGAAACAGTTTCAAGATATTTTTTGATATATCCAAGTGATTTTCAATAACTGAAGTATGAAATTCAGTTTCGAATTTTTCTACCAAATTCGTTAATTTTGATACAGTCTGCTCTTTATCGCTTATTGGGATAATAAAATCTATGTTTCTGTCTGCTGTTAAAGAAGACAGACCTTCTTCGGAATAATAAGCATCTATCTTCAAAGTGCCTTTAAGTTCAGCTTCTTGTAAACCTTTTATTATTCGTACTGTCCAAACAGACTTCCAACTTCCACTATAAACATGTCCTCTGTTTCGCAGTCTATGGCTGAAGCAAATAGTTATAATTATTATGTCGTTCTTGCTAGTGCCGAAAACAGAGCAAGCACCACTTTCGAAATATTTTTTGGTGTACGGAATGAAGGAAATCTCGATAGCTCGTCGCCATGGCTCGGATACTTCATCAGGTTCCCAATCTATCCACATAGTTACCTTTTGCATTAGGTGATTGAACTGGAAGAGTTTCCGGCTTCTTGGATCACAGAACCAATTACTTCTCACTTCGTTAAAATCTGTGACCATTGCAGACTGATGATCATTGATAAACTGGCATGGTGTCATGTTAGCTTTGTTGTAGGCAGAAATAGCTTTCCACGTCAAGTCTTCAGCATTATGATATTTTTTCAAAAGTTCCTGAATATTACGTATTAGGCTTTTAATCTCTGCAGCATGAATACGGTGTATAATATCAAGAAGACTTTTTTCCACCATTTTCTCATTCTCATCCACATCATCCATTATACAGAACTGAAGCGTTAAATGTATTGATTTTCACAGGCAACAGTTCAACAAACTTTAGGGCCAGCAAATATCTTAAAGAAAATTGTTTGTTACCAGCAACATTCTATATTTGATTTCTCCTAACCATAGTACACAAAACAGAATCTCATGAAAACAAATATATTCTCTAACTGATGCATTTCAAGGCTGTTGCCAGCATAATAATGAAGGACAAATAAAGAGTGTTGAAACTAATAAAACAAAATACAGCCGACCTACATCGAACGTAGCAATATGCAACATGAAAATGAATATTCATTTAAAATGTCATACCTAAGTTTACGGTTGTTACAAATTTTAGTGTAAAATAAAAAATTCAATACGTAACAGAAATGAAATCCATATGTAAAGAATTAAAAATAAGACAATTATTTATTAAACTATCGTCTGTTGGGGCTGTTGCCATTATGAAAATAAATCAAAAAATGTAATATCAAGCAAAAATTATTACTATTAATATATATAAATACATACAACAAATTAAAGTGGCAAGCTATCTAACTTGAATAAAATAAAATAATAATAATAACAAAAAAGAAGATAAAAAAAAAATCTGAAATGTTTCAGATTTTAAATTACGTCCAAATTAAATTACGTTTTTTTAACGTTTTGTGCGTTATCTTTATTTGTTAAACATCATGTTCTTCGTACTTAAACCATAAAATTCAATTCAACAGGAATATCGCAAAATAGTTTTAAAATGAGCATATCTTTAGAATTTCCGATACAAAACTCACGCGCCGGAGATAAAAATGTTTTTTCTGCATAACGTTGCCATTGCTCGCTTTGAAATCCTTGAGTTTGTTAATCAAAAATTCGTCAAAGTTTTAAAAAATAGGAAATCGATCATAAACAATTTCAAATTTCAAATTTGGTCTTCCACATGCTCATATTCGTTGGAGGATTACGTTATTCAAAATTCGATGACTCTATGTACCGTTGTTTTATCACAATACGAGAAATATACATACATTTATGCAGATTTTTTCATTATTTAATTTCTTCAAATATAATGCAGGACTCTAACATTTTGTGGCAACAGTTTGAAAAGTGAACCGACATTTATGAGTCCGACGCAAAATGCCAAAACGAAACTAATAGTCCTTCGGGATTCAAATCCCTTTGGACTAAAAATGTGAAAGCTTTTAGATTTTATATTACGCCCAAATTTTATATTACGCCCGTTTTTTTTTACCATTTTATGTGTTACCTTTATTTATTAAATATCATGTTCTTCGCACTTAAACCATAAAATTCAATTCAACAGCAATATCGCAAAACAATTTTAAAATCAGCATATCTTTAGAATTTCCGATACACAGTCTCGCGCGCTGGAGATAATTTTTTTTTTCCCCGTACAGTGTTGCCATTCCTCGCTTTAAAATCACTGACTTTGTTAATCAAAAATTCTTTAATGTGGGACAAAATATGAAATAGATAATAAAACAAAATTCCAAATTCCAGATTAGGGCTTCCAGATGCCCATATTCGGTCGAGGATTACGTTATTCAAAACTGGATGGCTCTAGATACCATGGTTTTATCCCAATCCGAGAAACATACATACATGTATGCATATTCTTCATTATTTAGTTTCTTTAAATATAATGCAGGGCTCTAATATTTGGTGGCAACAATTTAACGCATGATTCGCCGTTTATAGTGAATCAACGCAGAATGCCAAAACAAAATTAATAGCTCTTCTGGGCTGACAATATAAGTATAATTCTGAAACGAAATGCAAATAAAAAAACAAAGCAGTTAAATAATAAAAGCTGACAATTCTTTCTGAAGTACCAGAAAAGCGAATTATTAACAGAGCCACATTTCTGAATTTTAAATAAAAATAAGTATAACATTTAAGACAAAATACTTTAGGAACATTTATCATGATTATACCTACACGGCTCGGAAAAAAATACAAATATGTGTTTTACATTTCGCAATTAATCACAATTTATAAATACACAGTTAAGGAACGTAAATGCGTTGAAAAAAATTAATAAGGCCTTTATTTCAGCTTTAGATTATGAAAATTTTATGAATAAAATTTTTAATAAAATAAAAGTTTCTAAATAAATTTAAAAGGACCGAAGAGGAACACTATTTTGCCTTAAAAATAAATAAATAATTTATAATTGTAACCAATCCCTTAACATAAACTATTGGACTAACTGTGACAACAAGGCTGCCCTCTGGTGAGTAGCCAGAGAAGTACTTCAGTAAAAGCCAAGGCTCCCACTTCATAGGTAGTATCAGATTCTTGCTCTGTAATTTTCTTAAAGTTAAATGTAGTGTCCGTGTGTAACTTAAACCTGTTAATAAATATTTGTTACACTATACCGGACTCTTCTATGATCCTATCTAAAACGACCTCTTCACAAAGTGACGCCCAACGTTAATTTTAGCTTTAAGAATTTTCCTTGGCTTTTGCTCACTTTCTTTTTCAGAAACAGTACTTGCAGCCACACCCGCTGGATCTAACTCCTAAAACTTTAGGAAAGGAGATACCTCGCCTGTCAGGTATGAGTTTTTCTTTTTTTTTTTTTTTTTTTTTTTTTTTTTTTTTTTTTTTTTTTTTTTTTTTTTTTTTTTTTTTTTTTGTTTTTTTATGTGCCACTCCGATGGCCTATCAGCAACAAATAGTTGTCGTTAATGATGTGAGTTGTTTTGCATTTAAACACTAATGTTCTATAATGTGTTAACCCTTAATGTTGAAAACGTGAAAATACTTGAATATGAAAACATAAAAATACGTTACTGTGTCCTTAAAGTATATATGTATATCGTTTATGAGTATTGTATCATTTTGAAGTGATTAAGAAATTCTTTTATTTTGTTTACACATAATGAGTGCTTGAGAACTTCATAATCATAATATTCAGTTTTGTTTCGAAATGGTAAATGTGGTAAAACATAAAAAGATGGAATATATATTTAAAGCAACGCATTTTAAGAGTAAAATTCTGCATTAGAAATTTTTATTATAATATGCTGAATGTACTAATTCACAAGTTAAACAACAAAAATCAGCGTTATATTTACAAAATTTTCACAGGACTAGTTTCGATGGTTTTACCGAACCACCATCCTCAGCTGCAAAACCGCAAATGAACAAGATAGGAAATAATGATTAGATAAGAAAACCTGGACAAGAATAAGCAAGTGGCGCCATCTGTTGGTGAAACCAGAACTAAAACATAATTTCTTTAAAGGCCGAAGGCAAATTTGGATTGGAATTAGGATCGTTAACTAGAACAGAAAGATTTTTATGAATGCAAAATGCCTCTAGAAAATCCAGTTCTCCAATGGAAGATGTTTTTTTGAATAATTTTGGCAGCAGAAAAATTGAAAGTGTGATTTTCGGACCAAAAATGTTGAGCAACAGAAGACTTCTGTGTTTCCTTTTTTCTAACATATGCCTCATGTTCCTTGACGCGAAATTTTAAGGCTCTCTTAGTTTGGCCAATGTAAATTAAACCACACTGGCAAGAAATCCTATAAATACCCCAGGAATTCATATCCGGAATGGGGTCCTTGAGTATGGAACTCGGAATTTTATTGATGGGAGAATAAACAACGCGAAAGTTAAATTTCTGCAAAATATGTGCAACTTTATAGCTAATTGATGGAAAGAAGGGAATGACAACAGAATTTTATCTCAACACACTAAAAGGCACTCTCTTGGTTTAGGAGATTATAAAAATTATGTTGTCATTCCTTTCTTTCCATCAATTAGCTATAAAGTTGCACATATTTTGCAGAAATTTAACTTTCGGGTTGTTTATTCTCCCATCAATAAAATTCCGAGTTCCATACTCAAGGACCCCATTCCGGATATGAATTCCTGGGGTATTTATAGGATTCCTTGCCAGTGTGGTTTAATTTACATTGGCCAAACTAAGAGAGCCTTAAAATTTCGCGTCAAGGAACATGAGGCATATGTTAAAAAAAAAGGAAACACAGAAGTCTTCTGTTGCTCAACATTGTTGGTCCGAAAACCACACTTTCAATTTTTTTAGCTGCCAAAATTATTCAAAAAACATCTTCCATTGGAGAACTGGATTTTCTAGAGGCATTTCACATTCATAAAAATCATTCTGTTCTAGTTAACGATCCTAATTCCAATCCAAATTTGCCTTCGGCCTTTAAAGAAATTATGTTTTAGTTCTGGTTTCACCAACAGATGGCGCCACTTGCTTATTCTTGTCCAGGTTTTCTTATCTAATCATTATTTCCTATCTTGTTCATTTGCGGTTTTGCAGCTGAGGATGGTGGTTCGGTAAAACCATCGAAACTAGTCCTGTGAAAATTTTGTAAATATAACGCTGATTTTTGTTGTTTAACTTGTGAATTAGTATTTATTCGGCGTGTTATTGTGTTTTAATTATGCTGAATGTATTCAATCTTATAAACGTAGTTTCGATTTGAGATTGACTTGACGAACCATTGGCTCCATGACATGTTTATTACCCTGTTGCTTCCATAACGATTTTATTTATTGATATTTTTTTTTTCTTCCATTTCCGCTTACATTGCTGAAAATTGTTTATATTTGATGATTTAACTAAGCGTAAGATTCTTTCTGGTAAAATGTTATTTTGGAAGCACTTCCGCAGAGAACCCAGTAAATGTAAACATCGCCAACTTTGGCGATAATAGTTCAAACCTGGTAACCCATCACATTTATTCTATTCTCTTGTTCGAAGTTTGCAACCATTCCTCATGCGTTCATTTTGTTGAATTATTACTGTCGTTGTTGGCATTTGCAGATTTATATTCTTATTCTCTTATTTATTATTATTTTTTGTGAATTTTTTAACAACGAATAGATAGAAATATTTTCGGAAGCACTTCCGCAGAGAACCCGGTAAGTGTAAACTTTGCCAACTTTGGCGATAATTGTTCAAACCTGGTAACCTATCGGATTTATCCTATTCGCTTGTTTGAAGGTTGCAA